ACCGCTAAGATTATATTATGGTATTTTTAATACGCATTCTCATTGTTTATTAGCATATATTTATGTGTGTCTATTATCTTAATTATTCAGACTGTCACCTTTACGGATGTGGCTCCAATCACTCGTTACGACCCACTTACACATCGAGCCTCTCTTATTCCATTGGATTGGGACCACTCAAATTTGATGCATCATGCCGTCACCCAAATGCATTTGATTCTTTCCGGTAGTGCCGGAGCTACTGGAGCCATTAAGAGTTCCACAATAAAGCATCCTGATTCCTCCCGCGTAGAGATGATGAATATAAAACTCGTCAACGTCTACCTTTTCGGAGGATACAGTCTAGCCTATGGCTATCATACCAATATTCTTCAATGTATCCAAATCCCATTACTTTCGGAATTAGACTCTTTTTCTCAGTCAGAATTGCCAATTTCTTCGTCTCCTCACCCCTCGTCATTAACATTCAAGCAAATGCCCAAACCATGCTGTCAAATTCTTTCCGGTAATGGGCTTTTGAGTAATTTGTCAACGGGCAGGCAAAACGACTGGGCCAACCTAAAGGCGGTGTGTCTTCTAGCTGTTGGTGGGCATCTAAATTACTGCCGCTTTACGAGCTCCTCAGACCAGCTGCAGGTTATTTCGCGGGCCAGAATATCCAACCTTTTGGAACCTTCACCGCGTGACAAGCATTCACTGGAATACTGGAATGATCAACTATTTGTATTCGGTGGATACGGACCTAATCCTAGACCGCTGTTCGGATTCCCACTTTCCCTACTTCATTGGCCCTACCTTTATCGGCAAGAAAAGCCTACATTATCCGGCTCAGAGCCATTTGAGGACTATAGGATAGACGTAGATGTTGAGGAGTGGATACCAGACTCTGATGGAAGAGGTTGGAACAACCAACTCTGTGTCTACGATCTGACCAACGGCGTCTGGCGGCTTCCAATCACTCGAGGCGCCTCGCCTCCAGCCGCTAGGGCTGCGCATCAGTCTGCCATACTGGCAAGTAGGGCTTTGATGTTTATATTTGGTGGCCGCAGTGGCCTCCGACCATGCCAAAATAGCCATAGCGACCCCTTACCCCAAGCAGCTGGACTTCATGATACCAATGATATATCCTGCAATCCGGGACAACTTCAAGAAGATGTTGGAGACTCAATTAGTCATCTGGGCAGACGCAACGATCTATATTGCCTCGACCTTGAGCTGCTTGAATGGACGCGAGTTCGAACACCACTGGATGATTTTGGCCTTGTTGGCGGACCTGGTCTAGAGCCGACTGGCTGGTGGCCTTGTGGCCGATCGTGGAATGGATTCACCATCGTTTCTGATGCCGTCTGTTCTCCTTCATCTCAAGAGTCCTGTCGTGCAGGCCGAGACAAAGACTTGCTACCGTTGCACCTGTTTATCCACGGGGGTCGGTCCAACTCTGACGCTGCGCTCTCCGATTCCTATGTGCTCGGTATCCGTGAGTGTCCCCGGCACTCAGTCTCCAAAGAAACCTGGCAGCCTAAACCTGTCCTCGAGGCTCGTGTGATGTGTCGTGCCGTCCATCGGGACGAATTATTGCTTGGCTTGGAACAGGAGGATGCTTCTGATGAGGCTGCTTGGGCTGCTGGGCTTCCCGGTCCACCATGTTTTTGTTATGCTTCTTCCGGTCCTACGCCAGATACAGCCTCCGTGTTCTCCAGCACTCTGCTTCCTTTTGTAAAGGTTCGTCAGCCTCTTGTCCAATACTTCTCTCTTCCTGCACGACCCACTTCGACCGACAGTTCTGCAGAAGCTGTGGCAACTAGCCAATTGCATTATTTGATTGAATGTCTCAAGTTAGTCAGCTTCTCATCTGAGGACGCCGGGTCTTTTCTGGGACCGACTGATCAAGTCACCGAACAGATGGAATTCTATCATCTCGCCCACCTTCTCTCCAAAGTGACTTTGTGTATATTACAATTTTCTGCCTTTGCCCCCTGTTCTTGCCCCACTGACTTGCCTACTTGCGACCAGCAGCTTCTCACAAGCGAGTATACACGTCTTCAGATGGATGTAAATTCTGCACAAAATCTGATCACTCTCAGCCTCTTGTTTAGCACCCTGATAGACTTCATGCCTCCAGCCGATTT